CTGTAGTCGAACGGTGGGACGGACGTGCAGTTCAGTTTTTGGGCACGCATACGGTGCTGCAGGGATTTTTAGGTGTACCTCTTCGGGCTCTTGCATACCTTTTTCTCGTCAGATGTGTGCGTGTTCTTTAGATCCTCAGATGGCTCTAGCACTTTCGTGACCACGGGCTGAGAGTCTTTTGCTAGATTTTGGCATTTAGCAACTGACATACGGTTTAATGTGAAGACAAACAACAACAACACTTGTAGTCTAGTCTAGACTAGACTATACTAAAAAAGTGGCAACCTCTACATTGATGCCTGGAGCGGGTTGCAGAAACAGCTAAACACATCCTGTCATGAACCGAGACCCGTCCAGATGCCGCTCGCACGAACTAGTGCAATGCATTGAATTGTAAACGTTCGCGGCACACACGGCGGTAAGAACAAAGGTACGTGCGCACAGCTGTCGGAGGGGCGGGACCTCTCTAGGTAACAATAACGCGTCAGGGTCATGCTCACCGATTTCTCCGGGTGTCCCGAAACTGTAGAAACTGCTCAATGGCCGTGTAGACGTGCTGGTATCTAGGGTGAGAGGATGGGAGAAGAGAAAGTGAATGATGCGTGGGTTGGTGTGGGTGTGGGTGTGGGTGTGAGTTGATTGTCTCAAGCAAGCGGCGTGAAACACGACCGTTACCCTTGGGTCTAAGATCCAACACAGGTCCGTTGCTCTTCTATGCGATGAGAAGATTCGGATTAATCCTCCCTCGGTGCAATAAAGAACACGTGCACATAAAATACGTGTACATAGCTTACACAACAGCTGCTGCCCAACAAACACAACAGCAGATGGATGCACACAAAGATGCCAATGCTCTCTTCACAAGAATGCACTGTTACTCACTCGGTGCCCAGTGGTACACCCATCAGATCCGTCAGATACCAGCACATGGCATTCGATGTACTACTGCTGTACAGCAGTAGTGTCAGAACAGAAGCCTTTCCTACGGAATATCTTTGGGCGATGTGGACTACTTACAGAGACTACTTGTTCCTGGTGGATATCAGAACAGAAATGTGAGAGAGCGGTTGGCAAACAGCACGGTTAGCACGGATGGCAGCGAAATGGACGCCGTGCTGAAGCCGGCTGCAGAAAACGCAGTGGCAACGCAGAACGGGCTTAGCTAGAGGTACATGGAGTCTAGTCTAGATATGCACAGACCGGTCTGCATAGCTAGTCTAGTCTAGACTACACACCTTGACCACACATCTTGAGGATATTGTGCACATGGCAGTGTTTCTAGGGGACGAGAAGGCCATCTACCAGTAGTGCTGCCGTTGTTGTATGCATGCAGACTCTGCGGTGTGTGTTGCCATGTCACGGCTACCCCTATTTGCACGACGCACTTGCAAATAACAACTTGCACGACTCGAACGCCTCCAGAACCACACACAGAAACACAGTCAATACAGCGGGGGGGATCGTAAGCACGCTGACAGCAGTAGATACCCGAGGCACAGCCTCTCCCGGCACGCTCGGTCACTAGATTCTCGAGGAGCAGCGTCTCCACAAGCACCGTCAGCGACATGGAGGCTGCAACAACCTGGCGAGGCACGGCGCGGGGCAGGGACATCACCCCCAAGGCCTGTCCTCCTCTCCAGAAGGCGCTATTAGGCCGCAAAGCACGAAGGCACGACACTGACCTGCAGCTATCCTTCGTGAGTATTCGTACTGCTGTGAGGGCCGTGATGTTTTCTCTCTACACAATTGTGTTGCTGCTGTGTTGCTGCTTACTGCCGGTTGTGCACTATTTCGTAACTCTGCTGTGCTGTGTATACCATCATACCATCCTTTCCATGCATACTTGTAGCAGTACATTGACCAAGTCACCGGCAAGCAGCCTGCCCCTCAGGGATTAATCACCCGTTGCGTTTTTTGAGTCCTGTCTTGCCACACACGCAACCCCTCGTGTCAAGTAGCTTCGTGTGCCGCAGCCTGGGGTTTGTTGAGTTTGCTCCAGCAGTGCAGCAGCAGTTGCGTCTCTTTTCTTGGAGGTGCATTACACCCCCGAGCACACCAACCGCCGAGCATTCCTGGCATGCCCTCTCGCTGTGTACACGCACGTTCCCTTTTGTCCACCGACCGGGATATTTCCATGCGAATATAAATACCAGAATAATTGCGCTCATCATCCCCGCCGCCCCTTGTCCACGCCGGCCGTACCGTACAGGAGAGAGAGGACTATCCCTTTTTTTAGCATTTAGCTGAGGGGCGATTATTTGAGATGGAAACGGCTGAGGACGGTTGGTGGCAGCTTGGGCGGGGACGGAAAGGGAGGGAGCTTCATGTGTACTGTGAGGAAAAGTGAAGCTGATCTGTTTCATGAGACCCTTCAAAGAACATGAAAGTGGTCGTTGGGGAAAAACACAAAATCTTTTTTTTTTTTCTTAATATAACACAACGAGTCCATCTCTATCATAGAAAAGAGTCAGAGACAGATTAACAATGGAATCATAGCGTCAGAGAAAACTACCTGTGTGTCTACGGTTTCCCAGACAGCATATAGGGTCTATGATAGAGATGGACTCGTTGTGAAATATAAAAAAAAAAAATGATACTCAACTCCTGAACCCGGCCAAACATCAGGTTTCCACATGAAACGGCCCATGCTCGCTTCCGCATAACACAGAAGTGGGGAACACTTGGACCGTGGGTCCCCATGAACAATGGACTACAAGGAGGTTTCAAGAGTCCGAAGGCTGAACACCCCTGTTCGTGTTTGGCATTCCGTTCCTTATTACTGACGTCATTTCATTACACCATCATCGGGCTGTCGACCCCGGAATACAGAGAATACACAGTCACTCCTTCACACACTCATGTTATGGAGTGTGGCTGCTAGCATGAACAGGGTACATCTTATTGTTGATAGGTTGAGGGCCGGTCACGAGGTANCCGCATAACACAGAAGTGGGGAACACTTGGACCGTGGGTCCCCATGAACAATGGACTACAAGGAGGTTTCAAGAGTCCGAAGGCTGAACACCCCTGTTCGTGTTTGGCATTCCGTTCCTTATTACTGACGTCATTTCATTACACCATCATCGGGCTGTCGACCCCGGAATACAGAGAATACACAGTCACTCCTTCACACACTCATGTTATGGAGTGTGGCTGCTAGCATGAACAGGGTACATCTTATTGTTGATAGGTTGAGGGCCGGTCACGAGGTATGTATACCCTTCTGACCCCTACCCCCTTAGAATTGTCTACTCTGTGTACCCCCTGAGATGAAGTTGGATCCCCACTTCATTTCAGACCCTTGCTGATCGTCTCTCAGCAAAAACAAGCAACTTTCCCATCTCAAAGTGGTCGTGGACAAGCGTGTCAACGACAGAACCTTCATCTATCTCTAGGAGCAAGCTACCGCCCACGGCCTCACTCCTTGAAACTTAGCGTCAGCTGGCATTACACGGTAAGCGGGTGCTGGACGCGGCTTCCACAATGCTGTGTGTTATTGCCATGCTTTTTTTCACAACCACGGGTTGCTTGTTACTTGGTCTCACCACCCACGACAATCTAGACGTAGCCTCTTCTCTGCTTCCCCTCCTGTAGAGATGCTGGCTTGTTATGCTTTTGCGACGCGCCCGCGGGACTGCGACCTTGCAAAGGATACGCGCCTCGGAGGCCATCGCGATGTTTTGGGTGATTTTTCGTACGTTCGCCGTCGCTCGAAAGCTATTTTGTCTGCATCGGCGGTCCATGAAGTGATTTCTGTGGCGGATACCCTCTGCATGGAGCGTCCTGAGTTGCTGGCTTTGTGCAGTGGGACCCGAGATGACAGCATGCTTCCCTACCACCTCTACTGCATTCATGCCGGCGTACCGGCCGATGTCCGCGGATTTTCCTGTTGTGCTGTCCGATTTGACTCCGCTTACATCGACTTGGAACGCGTGGTGTGCACACAAATTGGGTGTCAGCCGCCCCACCAGCCTTCCCTCCATTTTTCGAAATCACATGGCACTTTTTTTCGGGGAATC